TTTGAAATTCAAGCCTACCTCTTGCTCTATTGTACCTAAGACTTCAAGTCTCCTACATTTAACCACTGGAATGGGTTGCTCCCTCTGAAGGGAGTGTGGTAGCTGGGTCAAGTGGCCAAAGTGAGATTGGGTTTCTCAGGCTGGGGCTGGGGGAAGGATGCTGCTACCCGAAAAAAAGGGGGAAATCAGAGAGTGAAGCTGTGAGATAATCCAGGGCCCATAAAGGAAATTTGAGGATCAAATATTTGGAAGAATAAAGATGGAATGAGATTAAAGATAAAAACTGAAGTTTGAGTTTAGGTTTGATTTTGGGAGGCAAGAGAACGTGAATGGGAAGATCAGGCAGGGGTTCTGAGCTACTTTCTTTACTTCTGTTACTTGCTGTGTTTGAAGCTCACCTTTTAGAATGTTACATGGTTTACTGTACCTGTTTCAAAGGACTAGGAGTGGAGCAGACCAAACTCTAGTCAGGCAGAAAAATCTCCCAGTTTGATTTATTGACATTTGACCTGACCTCCATCTTGGGCAATCTTAGGTGGGAGGTAAGAGATGGAGGTGGGGAAATCAAGATTTTAACCTTGCCCTTCTTTAAATTCCAGGACTGAGCATTGACCACAGTGCTGACAAGGGTCCTGCACTTCATGTTCACCCTGTTCTTGTGTTGTTATAAAGAAATACCTGAGTTCGGGTAATTTATAAAGAAAAGAGGTTTATTTGGCTCTCAGTTAATTAAAGGCTCTACAGGAAGCACGTTGCTGGCATCCGTTTGGCTTCTGGTGAGTTCTCAGGAAGATTTTACTCATGGCAGAAGGTGAAGCAGGAGCAGCAACTCACACGGGAGAACAGGGGCAAGACAGTGAGGGTAGGGAGAGGTGCCACACTCTTTTAAACAACCAGACTGCCATGAACTCAGAGTGACAACTCATTCATTATCACAAGGATGGCACCAAGTCATTCATGAGGGACCCACCCTCATGATCCAAACAGCTCCATGGAGGCCCCACCTCCAACATTGGAGATTATATTTCAAGATGAGATTTGGAGGGGAAAAACATCCAACCGTATCACTTCATTACAGACTGCTTGTCACATCTGATGAAGAAGGTGGGTTTTCTATAATGGAGAGATTGAACCTGGGCTGAATTCCTGTAGACAGTGGTGCATGCAAATATAGAGGTGATTGTTTCTATGACTTTAAATGATTTTTAAATGAAATTTTTCGAGTTTTCCAGAAGGAATCATGGGCCAAAATCGGTCTTTTATTCTGATAATGTGACTTCAGCATGATGTTTCTTTATTCTTTTCCTACTCTTTGACTCACTGAAGAGTGTCCTCCCCAACTTTACTTTCATGCATAATCCAGAGAAGAGCTAATGAGCCTCTGGACCATCCTACAACCAGTATCAAAACAATGGTTTTAATTAGGTGAGAAACTGGGTCTCCTGTCGAGCCTTGACGCCCACATATTCCATAGTCGATGAAAAACAAAATCATGCCCATTTAAAACATTTTTTTCTTAAGCTTTGTTTTTGTAACTCAGATGCCCAGAGTTAGGCAAATCATGTTCTTCCGTCATGACACGTGGATATCAGTGGTCCATTCAAGGCCTTGCTTTTGTTTTAGTTACCTTAATCCTCTACCACACTCCTATTTATCTAATTATACATGTCCTACTTCTATAACATCTCTTCTTTTCCACTTTTGATGCTGCCTTTGGCATTGATCAGACAGCCCATTAGAATATTGTATTAGCTGGTTTACCTCATTTCAGCCTAAACCTCTCAACCCATTCTTCGCCCTTCTGATATCCTGAAAATATGGTCATTCAATGTCCCATCTTTGGTCCTACAAGATAAAGCTCAAAGTTTTTCACAAAAGATAAAATACCCTCCAACATCATGCTCTCTGTACTCTCACCAGTCTTACCTTCCTTCTACAGCCACACCTAACCCCTACACCTTTCCTCTTTTCTCCTATCCTGCACCTTTGGGTCTGTCTGGTAAACCCATATTTATGCTCCGAGGCTCTGATCATGGATCCTCTATGAAGAGTTCTTAATTGCCTGTCCATCATATAGAATTGAATATATATATATTTTTTCTACCACACCTTATACTTATTTCTATAAAATAACTCTAGCACTCGATTGCATTTACAGTTTACAGATTTGAGTTCTCTGGAGGGAGTGACCACGTCTATCAGTCCTGGTGCCATTTTGAAAGTGCTTGGCAGGGACAAGGTCTTCATTAGATGTAAGTTGAATGAACAATGAAATCTCATGATTAAGCACAATTGTCCCAACAATTACGTCAAACTTGTGTTGGGTATCTATGGCTGATTATTATTCAGGAAGGAGAAAAACGTGTGTGGAGAGGAGGTGGGGTGCAGAGGGTCAGCCTGACCTAGAGCATTGTTCTGATCACGTTACTTTCTCTGGTCAAACACTTCAAAGGCTCCATTAAAAATAAGGCAGCCAAGCCCAACTCTTAAGCCTGATGTGCAAGTCCCTTCATGATCTAACTTTGACTTACCTTTCCAGGCTTATCTTTCATGATTCTCTTTTATGTATTTTATGTTCCATACAAAATAGGTCACCCATGATTGCCAAACCTGCCTGTACCTGCCCATCTCTGCATCTGTGTTTGCTGTCCTTTCTCCCTGTTAAGTCCAATCCCACGTCTCTCAGCTTTGGCCCCTAATATTCCATGAGTCCTTCAAGGTACCAACTGAATGCAACCTGTTCTAGGAACATTTCCTTGATTCCGCTAGCAAACATCTCCTTTTTAAAATCTTCTTTTCAGGCTGGGCCTGATGGCTCATGCCTGTAGTCCCAGCACTTTGGGAGGCTGAGGCCTGCGGATCACCTGAGGTCAGGAATTCAAGACCAGCCTGGCCAACATGGTGAAATCCCACCTCTACTAAAAATACAAAAATTTAGCTGGGTGTGGTGGCATGCACCTGTAATTCCATCTACTCAGGAGCCTGAGGTAGAAGAATCTCTTGAACCCAGGGAAGTGGAGGTTACAGTGAGCTGAGATTGCACCACTGCACTCCAGTCTGGGAGAAAGAATGAGACATCATATCTCTCTCTCTCTCTCTCTCTCTCTCTCTCTCTCTCTCTCTCTCTCTATATATATATATATATATATATATATATATATATATATATAGTGTGCTTTGTGATTTGAGGATGCATTCATTTCACCAAATCCACCAGGCAGAAATTAAAACACACCTCATTTTATCATACTTCACTTTATTGCACTCTGCAAATATTAAACTTCTTACAAATTGAAGGTTTGTGGCAACTCTGAGTCCAGCAAACCTTCAGGGCCATTTTTCCAACAGCATGTGCTCACTTCATATCTCTGTGTCACATTTTGGTACTTCTTCCAATATTTCAAACTTTTCCATTATTGTTACATCTGTTATGGTGATCTTTGATGTTACTATTGCAATTTTTGGGGGTGCCACAAAGTGTACTCATTTAAGGCAGTGAACTTAATCATAAATGTGTGTTCTGACTGTTCCACTGACCAGCCAATCCTCCATTTTTCAGGCCTCTCTATTCCCTGAGACACAAAATGAAAATTAGGTCAATGAATATTTCTACAATGGCTTCGAAGTGTTCAAATAAAATAAAGAGTTTCATATCTCTCACTTTAAATCAAATGCTAGAAATGATGAAGTCTAGTGGGAAAGGCATCTTAAAAGCTGAGCTAGGCCAAAAGCTAGTGTTCTTATGCCAAACAGTTAACTACATAGTGAATGCAAAGAAAAAGGTCTTGAAGGAAATTAGAGGCTCTACTCCAATGAGCACATGAGTGATAAGAAAGTGAAACAGCCCGATTGTTGATATGGAGAAAGTTTGAGTCGTCTGCATAGAAGATCAGACCGGAAACAATGTTACCTTAAACCAAAGCCCACTCCAGAGCAAGAAGTGAGGAAGCTGCAGAAAAAAGCTGGAAGCTAGCCTATGTTTGTTCATGAGGTTTAAGGAAAGAAGCCAGCTCGACAACATAGAAGTATGAGGTGAAGCAGCAAGTGCTGATGTAGAAGCTGCAGTAATTTTTCTAGAAGATCTAGCTAAGATTATTGATGAAGGTGGCTACACTAAACAACAGATTTTCAACGTAGACAAGATAACCTTCTATTGGAAGAAGATGCCATCTAGGATTTTCCCAGCTAAGGAGGAGGAAAAGTCCATGGCTTCAAAGCTTCAAAAAACAAGCAGACTCTTGTTAAAAGCTAATGCAGCTGGTGACTTAAAGTTTAAGCCAATGCTCATTTACTGTCCAAAAAAATTCTAAGCCCTTAAGAGCTTGAATCTATTCTGCCTATGCTCTATAAATAGAACCACAAAGCCTAGATGACAACATATCTATCTATTTACAGAGTGGTTTACCAAATATTTTAAGCCCACTGTTGAGACCTACTGCTCAAAAAGAATCCTTTCAAATTATTACTGCTTGTTAACAATGCACCTGGTCACCCAAGAGCTCTCGTGGAAATATACAAGGAGAGAAATTTTATTTTCATGCTAACATAACATTCATTCAGCAGCTTACAGATCAGGGAGTAATTCTGGCTTTTAAATTATATTATTTAAGAAACACATTTCATAAGGCTATAGCTTCCAAAAGAGTTCTTCTGATAGATCTGAGCAGAGTACATTGAAAACCTTCTGGAAAGGATTCACCATTCTAGATACAATTAAGAGCATTCATGACTCATGGGAAAAGGTCAAAATATAGAAATTAACAGGTGTTTGGAAGAAGTTGATTCTACCCTCATGGATCACTCTGAAGGTTTTAAGACTTCAATGGAGGAAGTCACTGCAGATGTGGTAAAAATAGCAATAGAAATAGAATTAGAAGTAGAGCTTAAAGATGTGAATGAATTGCTATAATCTCAGGATCAAACTTGAGTGGATGAGGAGTTGCTCCTTACAGATGATCAAAGCAAGTGATTTCTTGAGATGAAATCTACTCTTGGTAAAGATTACTGTGCTATTTCTCAAGCAGTGTCCTATCAGCGGTTTATACAAAGAGAGAATGACTGAACTGTATGGTTATCTCAAGTATAGTTGCCACTTCAAGAAAGGAAAACAGTCTTTTTATTTTTACAATGCAGTTTTGCAGAACCAGCGAGTATTATATGTACAGGATTCCTTAGAGTGTGAGGCCAAAGGATTCCTGGACCCCAAAATACTGTCTGATGATGGCATGGTGGCACTCTGAGGTTATGCGTTTGGTGAAGATGGTGAATATTTTCCTATGGTCTGAGTGCCAGTGGCTCAGACTGGGTGATGATCAAGTTCATGAAAGATGATGGTGCCAAAGAGCTTCCAGATGTGCTCGAAAGAGTTAAGTTCAGCTGTATGGTCTGGACCCATGACAGGAAGAGAATGTTCTACAACTCATACCCCCAACAGGATGGAAAAAGTGATGGTACAGAGACATCCACCAATCTCCACCAAAAGCTCTACCATCATGTCTTGGGAACAGATCAGTCAGAAGAGATGTTGTGTGCTGAGTTTCCTGATGAACCTAAATGGATGGGTGGAGCTGAGTTATCAGATGATGACCGCTATATCTTGTTATCAATAAGGGAGGTATGTGATCCAGTAAACTGACTCTGGTACTGTGACCTACAGCAGGAATCCAATGGCATCACTGGAATCCTAAAATGGGTAAAACTGATAGACAACTTTGAAGGAGAATATAACTACGTGACCAATGAGAGGATGGTGTTCATGTTCAAGACGAATCGCCTTTCTCCCAACTATCGCATGATCAACACTGACTTCAGGGACCCTGACGAGGCTCAGTGGAAAGTGCTTGCTCCTGAGCATGAGAAAGATGCCTTAGAAAGGGTAGCTTGTGTCAGGCCCAACTTCGTGGTCTTATGCTACCTCCATGACATCAAGAACATTCTGCAGCTCCACAACCTGACTACTGGTGCTCTCCTCAAGACCTTCCCGCTCCAGGTTGGCAGTGTCGTGGGGTACAGCAGTCAGAAGGAGGACACTGAAAACTTCTATCAGTTTACTTCCTTTTTATCTTCAGGTATCATTTATCACTGTGATCTTACCAAAGAGGAACTGGAGCCAAGAGTTTTCTGAGAGGAGGCCGTAAAAGGAATCGATGCTTCCGATTACCAGAAAGTCCAGATTTTCTACCCTAGCAAGCATGGTATGAAGATTCCAATGTTCACTGTGCATTAAAAAAGGCATAAAATGGCCAGGCGCGGTGGCTCAAGCCTGTAATCCCAGCACTTTGGGAGGCCAAGGTGGGTGGATCACGAGGTCAAGATAAGGAGAGCATCCTGGTCAACATGGTGAAATCCCGTCTCTACTAAAACTACAAAAAATTAGCTGGGCATGGTGGCGCGTGCCTGTAATCCCAGCTACTCAGGAGGCTGAGGCAGGAGAATTGCCTGAACCCAGGAGGCGGAGGTTGCGGTGAGCCGAGATTGTGCCATTGCACTCCAGCCTGGGTAACAAGAGCGAAACTCTGTCTCAAAAAAAAAAAAAAGGCATAAAATTGGATGGTTCTCCTCCCGCTTTCTTATATGGCTATGGTGGCTTCAACAGATGCATCACACCCAACTACAGTGTTTCCAGGCTTATTTTTGTGAGACACGTGGGTGGTATCCTGGCAGTGGCCAACATCAGAGGAGGTGGCAAATATGGAGAGATGTGGCATAAAGGTGGTATCTTGGCCAACAAACAAAACTGCTTTGATGACTTTCAGTGTGCTGCCGAGTATCTGATCAAGGAAGGTTACACATCTGTCAAGAGGCTGACTATTAATGGAGGTTCAGACGGAGGCCTCTTAGTGGCTACTTGCGCAAATCAGCGACCTGACCTCTTTGGTTGTGTTATTGCCCAAGTTGGAGTAATGGACATGCTGAAGTTTCATAAACATACCATTGGCCAGGCTTGGACCACTGATTATGGGTGCTCAGACAGCAAGCAATACTTTGAATGGCTTGTCAAATACTCTCCATTGCATAATGTGAAGTTACCAGAAGCCTGTGACGTCCAGTACCCGTCCATGCTCCTCCTCATTGCTGACCATGATGACCGCGTGGTCCCGCTTCACTCCCTGAAGTTCATCGCCACCCTTCGGTACATCATGGGCTGCAGCAGGAAGCAAAGCAACCCTCTGCTTATCCATGTGGACCCCAAGGTGGGCCAGGAGCAGGGAAGCCCACAGCCAAAGTGATAGAGGAAGTCTCAGACATGTTTGCTTTCATAGCACAGTGCCTGAACATCAACTGGACTCCATAAACAGTTTCCCACTCCCTCCTGACAGTGACAGAAAACCTCAAGGGCTTTCCCACTGTTCAAACCGAGAAACCACTGGGCATAATGCTTCCCCACGGAAACATTGTTCCTGCACTCACAGACTACAGTCGAACAGAACTGCCGTGGGAATTTCCTCTCTTTTAGGCTTCTCCTTTTTAGCAAGCCCTTGATGTTTCTTTTTCCACCCTGTCTAGGCACATGTGTGGTTTTTTTTTTTGACAACAAAAAAGACAAAAGGCAACAAAAGGACAACAAAAGATTTAGAATATTACACAAAATTAGTGGCAGATGTTGAGAGAAGTTACTCCAATTTTTTTTAAAAGTTGTGCTGTGAACAAAATGCTATCAGAGTATTGCCTACTACAGAGAAATCTTCCATGAAAAAAAGGGTCCGTTGCTGCAGCAGCTTCACTGTCGTGTTATTTTAAGAAATCTCCACAGCCACCCCAGCCTTCAGAACCACCACTCTGATCAGTCAGCAAGACCCTCCACCAACAAAAAATTACAGCTCACTGAGAGCTCAGATGATCATTAGCATTTTGTACCAGAAATGTGTTTTTTTTTTTTGAGACGGAATTTCGCTCTTGTTACCCAGGCTGGAGTGCAATGGCGCGATCTCGGCTCACCGCAACCTCCGCCTCCTGGGTTCAGGCAATTCTCCTGCCTCAGCCTCCCGAGTAGCTGTGATTACAGGCACGCACCACCGTGCCCAGCTAATTTTTTTTATTTTTAGTAGAGACGGGGTTTCACCATGTTGACCAGCATGGTCTCGATCTCTTGACCTCGTGATCCACCCGCCTCGGCCTCCCAAAGTGCTGGGATTACAGGCTTGAGCCACCACGCCCGGCCCAGAAATGTATTTTTAAATTAAGGTATGTACATTGTTTTTCTAGACATAATGCTACTGCACAGTTAATACACTGCAGCATAGTGTAAACGTAACTTTTGTATGCACTGAGAAACTATGAAATGTGTAGGGTTCATTTTATAGGGATATTTACTTTACTGCAGTGCTCTAGAACCAAAGCCGTGATATCTGAGGTATGCCTGTATATACTGTTGATTTTAGTGCAGCGTTCTTGCTGCATCTCAGTACAAGTAAAAGGGTGATTAAAAAGCATTTCCTGAGCACCTGCCATGCAGTAGGCACCAGTTGAAGTACATTTATACATTATGTCATTGTCCACGTTGACACACGACAAAGTGAAGAATCTGCTCGTAATCACTGATCTAACAAGTGAGGGGCCGGGACATGAACTCAGGCCATCTCTCCCACCTCCACAGTACTACTGCTCAGGGCACTGTCAACGTGGGCTGGCACATGAGTCGAAGTGATTTCCGTTTGCGGACTTCTCTCTACTGCTGCTGTTCAAACAGAAGGGAGACCCGTGAGCCACAGCTCATACCTCATTACTCAGACATGAACTCTGGGGCTCGTGCATTATCCAGGCTCTATATTCTTTCTTTCCTGTTCCTGGAGCTTTGATCATTGCACTTGCTCTTCCGTATGACCTTTACCCAGAGGAACCTCAATGGAAGTGGGGGGCGCTCTGCTGTAGACTTTGCTGGAAGCTCTGGAGAAATGTTGTACTTTGAAGTTATTTGCTTAAGTTAGTTTCATAAAGCAACATTCTGACTTCATAGAAACTTAACGTTTAGTTTCATAAAGCAACATTCTGACTTCATAGAAACTTAACGTTTAGTTTCATAAAGCAACATTCTGACTTCATAGAAACTTAACGTTTAGTTTCATAAAGCAACATTCTGATTTCATAGAAGCTTAACGTTTTCTGTTTTGAAGGGATTTGAGAGATCATTTGTGCATCTATTTTCTTCCTATTTCTCATTACAGATAAAAGTGACTATGTGAAGGGCTGGGCACAGTGGCTCGTGCCTGTAAACTCAGCTCTTTGGGAGGCCAAGTTGGGCAGATCACTTGAGATCAAGAGTTTGAGACCGGCCTGGCCAATATGGTGAAACCCTGTCTCTAGTAAGAAATACAAAAATTAGCCAGGAGTGGTAATGCATGCCTGTAATCTCAGCTACTAGGGAGACTGAGATAGGAGAATTGCTTACACCTAGGAGGCAGAGGCTGCAGTGAGCCGAGATTGTGCCATCATGCCACTGCACTCCAGCCTGGGCAACAGAATGAGACTCCATCTCAAACGAAAATGTTTGTTAAGAAGGGACTATGTGAGTTATACCCTGGAGGTCTCTGGTGTTAAGGCCTATTGTTACATATTATAGAACGTCTCCTCTTGTTTGTTTTTTTGTTTGTTTGCATTTATATCATAAACAAGAAATGCAGAAGTGAGAAAGGCCAAGTGTCTAGAATGTTTTCTCTTTTTGCAGTAGAACCTCAGAAGGCAGACATTGAGCAAGAAGCCTGCTAAACTGGAGATGAATTCCCTCCAACGTTGGTTAAATTTCTATCCCCCCATCAAAACCCCCAGAGCAAAGTCATTAGCAGCATTCATTGCTCCCTGTAAGAGCTGAGAATACACCCCAGATGTTGTGTTGTGAGCACAAAGGCCTGTGTGCCAGATTCACAGCATGGCTTAGAACCTTCTGAACCCCGCCCACCCTGCAAGATATTCTTTGTGGGCTCTCCTAGGTTTCCAACATTATTATACAACCCCAGGCTCCTTCCTCCTTTGTAACCTCTCAGACAAGTAATGGATGCACTATAGTCTTTGCCAGAAAATAAAATGAAAAGGAATGAGAAGCCCCTGCCAGAGTAGTTTTCTTTTGATGCTTTCTTTCATCTTTCTTCACCTCCCCTGTGGGGAAAAATAAGGCAATGTATTTATCAGCTTTTATTATCTTGATTTATAACCTCAGGTCCCAATTAGAAGGTAAAACATAAAGGCATAGATTTAAATGGTGCTAATTGTGCCCTTTCCATTTCATTCTTTTCTCTCTTTTGTCAGAAAAAAATCCTTTGATTTCATTTCTTCATTCTTTGTAACACTGTATTGATCTGCCAGTATAGAAAATGCATCAGCGACTCTCTTATCTTTGGCTAATACTACATTTTTCTGCATTAACTACAACCCACGAACTGTACATTTCGTCATTACATGCCTGGTTTACACACATTAAATTAGATGTACAATGTGCATTCTATACTTTATCGAGTTATGACAAGAATTGTGATGAATGGCATTTAATAGCTTTCATTTATCATCTAGAAAGCTTCATTTTTCCAACATCAATCAGGCAATTAAAAGAACTACTAGTAGGCTGGCCTATTGTGTGTCTTCATTCCCTTGCTTCATTTCACGTTCATTATGGTTCACAGTACAGAAAGTTGACATTCCTGCATTCATTCATTCAGTCACTCAAACAGTTTTCATTGCATGCCTGCTATGTGCTAGACGGCAGTTGAGGCACAGGAAACAGCACTAAAATAGCAGACAAAATCCTTTCTCTTATGTGGCTAACAAGAAAGGGCTGGGAAGGATAACAGACCAATAAACAGTGTATTTGTAATATATGCAGAGGCATGAGCACTGGGCTGGGGAAGGGGCTAGTGAGGACAAGAAAGGGAATGGAGGCCACAGTAGTCAGGGAGAGCCTCATTAAGAAGGTGACCTGGAGCAGATACTTGCAAGAAATAGAGAAGCAAGCTCTGCAGCCACCCATGAGAGCCTTCCAAGCACAGGGAGCCACTGAGGATGGAGCAGAGCCAGCATGTATGAGAAACTGAAAGGACATGAAATCTGGAGCACAGGGAGTGACAGGGAAAGTGGCTGGAGAGTAGGTAGCAGATGGATAGATTTAGGTAAGGTCGTGTGAGCCAACAACAACTAAATTTCATTCTGAGAAAGTTGGGATTCCATCAGAGAGTGTTGGGCAGAGGGGACATACTCTGACTTTTGCTTTAAAAGAGTTACTCCAGCTGTAGTGAGAATAGACAATTGAGGGTAACAGTAGAAACCAGGAAACCAGATATATTACAATAATCTGGGGGAAAAATAATGGGGGCTTGGACCAGGAGGGCAGTGGTGGAGGGGAGAGAGACAGGGCTAGGTTTGCATTGTGCAGGCAAAGCCAGTAGGCTTTGTTGATAGAGTGGATAAGTGATGACAGAAGCAGGGACAAGGATAACTCCAAGAACTGGGGATGCATAGCTGGTGCTTACTGACAGAGGAAAGCCTGAAGAAAGAGAAATTAGATACAGGCAGAAAGAAACCAAGAGCTCTCTTTTGGGCATATTAACTTGGGGCTCCTACCTCTCCACAATCACCAATTAACGAATTGTCATCCTTCTCATACATTAGTCTTGGTTGCAACATAGCCTCGTGGTCGAGTGTGGTCTCGGGAGCCTGTCTTCCTCGTCTTGAAACCCACCCATACTCGCTACCATGATCTAAAAGAAATGACAACCTTTTCTTATACAAAAAACTTTTTTCCCCTAAGTTATTGGAATACAGGTGGTATTTTATTACATGAATAAGTTCTTTAGTGGTGATTTGTGAGATTTTGGTGCACCCATCACATGAACAGTACACACTGCATCATATTTGTAGTCTTTTATCCCTCATCCCCCTCCCACTCTTCCCCCCAAGTCCCCAAAGTCCATTGCATTATTCTTATGCCTTTGCATAAGAATTAAATTAGATGTCCAATGTGCATTCTAGACTTTATAGCTTGCTTTTCACATATCAGTGACAACATACGATGTTTGGTTTTCCAGTCTGGAGTTACTTCACTTAGAATAATAGTCTCCAATCTCATCTAGGTCACTGCAAATGCTGTTAATTCATTCCTTTTTATGGCTGAGTAGTATTCCATCGTATACATACATATATATACCACAGTGTATACGTATGTGCGTGCGTGTGTGTGTGTGTATGTATATACTACCGTGTGTGTGTGTGTCTGTGTATTTATATATGTATATACTGCAGTTTCTTTATCCACTCATTGATTGATGGGCATTTGGGTTGGCTGCACGATTTTGCAATTGGGAATTGTGCTGCTATAAACATGCATCTTTTTCGAATAATGACTTCTTTGCTCTGGGTAGACACCCAGTAGTGGGATTGCTGGATCAAATGGTAGTTCTACTTTTAGTTCTTTAAGGAATCTCCACACTGTTTTCCATAGTGGCTGGGC